GTGTTCATTGATGGAATGGCCTCTTCAGAGGCGAGCGTGGATAGTCAAAGGAAGCCAAGAGATGCCGAGCAGTGGGTCTTGTGAGACTGAGCTTTGCCTGGCTTCCACCCATGGATCTTTTAGGCATGATTGGATGTGCGGCTGTGTAAAACCATCCTGTGTAGTTCGCAGGGTGATAGAGGCACGCAAGCCATCACACCACGTCAAGATCTACTCTCGTTCTAATGGTACGGCGACGTCGTCTGCTGATGAAGTTGGGTGATGATAACATGGTTAGAAACTGACTTTGCGAACCGCTGCATGTCAGTGGCAGCGACTCAAACAGTTTGAGTACTATCACTATTAAGTGTGCGGTTACTGATGACAATACATGTGCATTCCAGCTAATATGTTGCTATTATTTACTAGAGGGATTGAAGTAAAGTACTAGTAAAAATTAAATAAACGCCCATGGGGAAGATATACCTTGTTCAAATGATAATGTTCTTCCAGTTGACCACCTGCCGATAATTGATAGACACTGGCTGCTCCACTGTGAGAGGTGATGAGGAACCGATAATCGTCCAGTTTCGACATTTGTGATGGAGTCTATTTTGCAAGCAATAAGTAGATAAAAAGTTCAGTCAATCCAAACGAAAATAAGCACATATTTTCACGTATAATTTAAGCTATTTCTAGCCAAACATCCCGCTCCCCTTGTTAAAGCAACGGAAAAACAGTAAACTGAATTTATTGCAAGATTTCCCAGTTTCGATTGATCAATCTTGTGAGTAGGCAATTAAGAAATCCTTGTGCGCACGGAGGCAGACCGCTTGCCGGCGAGTAGAAAAGTGACAACTTCAATAAAAATTAGTGAATATCGTGATGGAATTTGACAATCAAATGAGCGAATTCGCCGTAAGCAAGACAGTGGAAACATGGACTAAAAAATGGAAAAGTATGTTCAACTGGCGACAGTACGAAGTTATCGACATTACTGGGGAACGCGCTCGATTGGTTTTTTCAACGTGTGTCGTCAGTAATTGTGGTAAGCATTTTTCTTCTATCCGCACCCAGAACATGTTCTGATGTTAAGCCGAGTTCTCACCTCCCCTTCCCCGCTAAGCTGAACAATTGACAGTTAACAGTTTCTAGAGTGTTGGTCCCAAGTGAGGAAATATAGGAATTTTACGTACTCAACGATCCGAGTGTCGCTTTCCAGTCGCATAACCATTATTTCAAGTTATTTTGGCTCCAGTTCCTGAAAATATATACGATCAAACGATAAATAACCACGCAGAAAATGACCGAAATGCCGAGAGTTATCCGGAAGGATTGATCACCTGCAACACGCACTTACAGAACCCCCAGCGTGCGCCAAATTAACCGTATCCCTGTACGATCTTCCTGGGCTTTATCGGTGGATAGTTATCCAGTGTTTTGTGGAGCACGAACAATATGAATCAAGTTCTCGCGTTCGCATGCTTTAAGATACATCTGCCTACGCGCCCCACAATATTAACGCCAAATCAAATAAATTTTATCGCTCTGGAGAAGTCGGGAAAATGCCAGGCATCATAAGCTAGTTAATGTAAAAGGTAAACGAAAGAAACCACGGTGGAAGAACACTGAAGTGGTAAGACAGAAGCTTTTTTATTACACGCTTTCGTGTGATGAACAGAAGACGGGGTAAACCCCCTATTCACGAGGAACTGCTGTTCAGTGATGGAAACCGGTAACCTAAGCCCCGGGACTACATAAGATCCCAATAGATTAGGCGTGGTATTGAACCGGACGACAGCAAAGCTGCCTACCACCAAACTTGCGTGGCGGGGTTCGAACCTCGGACCATAGGGTCCAAAGCGCGCTTGTGACAGCGACTAAACCAGTGCGCCACCAAGAATGGATCTAAAAAACCACTGTCCAACTGTCAATCTTACCTAGTGTGGCCTTACAATTACTGATCTTAAGAAGGTACGTAATGAAAGAGGAAAAAGCCCTTTAGAAGCGTGTGACGCCGCAAATTTCAACGACTGGTTTCGCGCTCCGTCGGGGGCAATCGTAAGAGTGGTTGGATAGTGTTAGCTGATAAAATGTGAACAGGATGGGACAGTGATGAATTAAAAAAATCTTCCGCCTAATTTGTAACGTTTCAAGCTCGAGTCTGTTCCACGCATGACAGAACAGACTCTCAACATCTATTCTTCCTTCTGCCCTTTTATTCAAGTGGGCATCCAAAGAACAGTAACCAAAACCATAGCGCAAACGTGTATGGCTAATGGTTGTAAAAACTGAACTAAACCGGACGTATGATAGAAAACCAGTTGTTCCCAGAAGACAATAAGACAAGTCAAACCACATAACTACACGACAAACCTATCGCACATAGTTAAACTTGAGCGATGCGTATATCGTGAGCCAGCAGGAACTACAGAGATACTTAAACACGCATAGAAAAGAAAAACTGCAGGAATGATAGTGTTTTATCAGAAATCTACAGGGTCTAGTTTATTGATTAGCAGGTTTCAAGTGCGATTGCGCTCTATATGGGATCGTGAGATACCTCCCAATGACTGTGGGCACAGCGCTTCTGCTACTGCGAAAACTTAAGGGAGAATACGTTGATTGACGTCCCTGTAAAGGTTTTCTGCATACTTCAGTTTCAGTTTGTACGGTCATCAGCCATGCACTTTTGTGCGCCGGTTTTGCCTGCTGTCTGTTGGTTGCCCATTAGGATGAAGGTTAAGAAGGATGATTGGATAGCTGAAAGTAGTCGAAGAGAAAATAGGGAACTCTAGTAGACTAAGTTTGCAGATAAATTGGGAAGATGCACACGTGCCACTGTTTACGATACTCTAGTATATCATTCAGTGAACGTCATGCGTTTTGGAAGCACAGTGAAATAAACCTGCCGTCCATGCTTCGTATATTTTGTGTTACCGTTCGTTCCATGCTCATGCTCGGGGGTAAACTCGGTCAGTGCTAGCCGAGGAAAAGGCTAGAAATATTTCATCACCAGTAGTTTCCGAACAATCTCGGAAAAAATATCTAATGAAGGAATGGAGAACAAGCTGAACAACTTACCATGTTTCTCCACCATCATCCACTGTAGTGGTTCGGTTAGCAACTACGGTACCCCAAACACAGTGCTGCTCCGTCAAACGCCGTTTTGCATTTTGTTTGCAACAGCGCCATCGCTTTGTTAGTCAGCTCAAAATGTAGGTCAGTGCTGTCAGTAAAATCTTGGAATACCAAAACTTCGGTTAGAACTGCAGTCTCCAGTAATGAAGACAAATGCGGGTGAAGAGTTAAACTGATCTCAATGATAATTTGCGACGCCCATTTAACCGAATTATTATCTATTGGGAGCGTATTGTGTGAAAGTTAAGATGCAAGTATACAGATAACGAATATTTCGTCATCTGCAGTCGGGCTTCGTATCTGCAAGCCACTCAACTCCTGGACCGCGGTTCCATAGAGATCTCAGTAATGAATGGTGGTGGATGTCTTGAGTTTGGACTGGTCATTCTTCCCCTGAAACACGCGAAATGCTCCTATATGGCCAAACGTCTCACGAAGCACCTACCGAGGAAACCATAATGACTGCCTTCAGCTGATGGACGTGTTTTTCCACTACGGTGAGAGGGTGAGAAGCTAATATTCGGCATTATAACTGGGTTGGTCAACCCCTGGCAGTTCTCTTCGGAGTCAGCTAAAACCCTCGGTTTGGCAGTGATCACCAGCTCGATTGGGTATCGAGATGTAATGGGCACCTGGGACGTTTAACTCCGTCCTAAGGGCGTATATTCTGGATTGGACACCGTTTCCCGACTGCGCTCCTAACAGTCTTGCTGTCTGGTAGGTTACTTTGCGCTTGGTCAGAGGCTCTGAATGCTAACCCCTCACACACACACACACACACACACACATACACACATATATACACACACACACCAGAAAATTCGGCTGTTTCGACTAGGCTAACCTGGAAGTATTTTTTTATTACACAGTTATGGGGTGAACAGCAGACGCAGCGAAACCCATAGTCATGAATACCTGCTATTTAGTGATGGAAATCGGTAACCTAAGCCCCGGGACTTGAAGTAGTGAACCACATAAGGCCCCGACAGGTTAGGCGTAGTATTGAACCGGACGACAGCAAAGCTGCCTACCACCAAACTTGGGTGGCGGTGGCGGGGTTCGAACCTCGGACCATAGGATCAAAAACACGCCTATGACATCGACTAAACCACTGCGCCAACACCACCACGCCCTCAGACAGATTACAGACCTACTTCTTTGCTATAAAGATTATTTTACCGCGATTTATTTAGTGCTCAGATGCCTACATGCATGTGGAATATAATATACTAGAACACTACTTTTATCATTATAGAATATTATTACTGTTATTATGATAAAGTAATAAACGCGTATTGTGGTAAAAATTGGTTTAGTGCACAAATCAGAAGAAAAGGGGAGAAAACATGATATAACAACTCACTTGTAGAGGCTTCACTGCGCTCCACTTTCGCAACGCTAAATCCTTTAACGCAACTGATTGGAGGACGGACCGATTAGAACGGTCATCAAACGACAAACAAACCAGGTGCCCATTGAGCTTAGATCCACTGGTTGCCTTTATTATCGTACAACTGTAGAAAGTTTAAAAGTAATACGTAAGTGAAAATTCAGGTACATGATATATGTATTCAACAGTTGATGGAATGTCCTCACTTCCATAAAATGTAACGATTTCGTAGGCACCACAATATGGTCCGGCAGTTTTGAACAGAAATAAAATATTCATTCAAAAGTTTAACTACTTGGTTATATACACAAACAAGTGGTAAAATTCTGACCGCATACAGGTCTTAATTTTCTCTAGTTTATTGTGCGCAAGCAAATGAGACTAGGTTCTCAAACTTCCTTTCGAAATAGATTTTGGATTACAAGGCAAGTCTTAATAATACCGATCACCAATTCAGCTCAATCAACTTACTCTTGAGGTCCGTTTTTAAGGTATTCAGTGGCGAAAGTTTCCACTGGACCGGCTACAGACTGTTGTGGTTCTCGAAGAGCCAACTGTAGATACACCACGGTCAGCTCCGCAGAAACGTTTGATGATATGGCTGAATCTGGTCCACTGTATCCCAAAACAAGTGCATTTAGTTGGTTTTCTTGGACGTCCAGCGTCATCATGCTAACGGCACTTGGTGAGTTTTTGTACCTGAATAAAGGTTGATGTGCCGAATAAGCAAAAGCATTCATCGCGGGATATTTCGTATGGTACTAAATAACCAATCGCAATAAAGATTATTCACAGTATAATAATATACAATGGACAAACGGGCAAGCAACGCCGATTCTTCGTAAATACATCATCACAATAATACACACAGCGCATCTAACATTACTTTTTAATTCGAAGATTATCTTAATATCAAATAGCTACCATTCTCTGAAAGTCTAGACAACGTGAAATTAGTAATTAGGGAGTTTAGGTCATCATCATCATTGTACAGCGCAATACAGTGAAGCGAACTTCACTGATCGCCGCCAAACTCATAATGCATACAAGCTAAGTGAGAATCTGTAAAAAGGACAGGGATTGGGCCTATATTTAGGGACGGGAAAAGAAAGTGAAACTCTATGGTTAACACACAGAGTGCACAGCCCAACTGTGAATACATACAATTCAAGCATACATTTCAAGCATTCTGGCCTGATAAGAAGTGACAGCATGATCGCCATTGTTGTCGGTTCACAGCCATGACCTTCAGTGTCTCCAACCATACGGTTTCGGATTCGTTTGGACCCCAACCCGGAAGACGAAAGACACCTAATCTATCTAATCGTTGTGTATTTCTTTAGGCCCCGTCTACTCGTCATCTGCTGGCCTCCACGTGGCTTTTCCCAGCCTGTAACAGCCACTGCAAACAAGGCGCGCTGTGGTAGGCGACCGTTGGATATACGCAAAACGTGTCCTAACCAACGGAGCCTACTGAGCTGGATTTGATGAGATAGCAAGTTCTTGTTTGATTTATTCCTAACTACCCGACGACCTAATTCTAACTTACTAACCCGCTCACTACATCCAACCTGGGCCAGACTACGTAAGTATCAATTGTCGAACACTGCTAAACGACGGGTGCTTTCTACCCGCAAATTCAAGGTCTCACAACCGTAAAGTAGAACTGATCGTACGGTGGCGCAGTATACGTAACTTTTCAACTTAAGTGACACGTTATGTCGCTGCCTCAAGTTTTTCAGTCCTGCGTATGCTGCTCGAGCCTTGTTAATGCGGGCGGTTATCTCTCTGCGCTACCGTCGTTGGTCACGCAGCTACCTAAGTAGGACAAGCAGTCAACTTCAGCTAATTCCTGACCGTTTAGTTTCAGAACAGAAATCGGCGAAACCCAGTCTTGTAGCATCACTTTGCACTTTGAAGGTGCAAAGCACATGCCGAACGGAGCGACAGAACGTGTTAACCTGTCCAGTGCTCTTTGTGCATCCTCCATACATTCAAACAAGCAAACAATGTCGTCAGCGTACTTCAAATCGCACAGCTTTTCTCCAGCTGCCCATTTAATACCTACATTTTGGAGACCACTTAGCGTGTTCTCCAGTATTTCGTCCATGACGAAATTGAACAGGAATGGCGAAAGAGGGCACCCTTGACTAACACCGCTGCTAGTTACGAACGACCTATTTAGCTCGCCGTAGGGCCCTTATGCTACCAGAGGTATGTGAATAGAGTGAACTCAGTATGTTCACACACTTCTGCGGCATTGTTTTGCGAATGAGTGAATTCATAAGAGATTCACGATCAACTGAGTCGAAGGCTCCTTTTAGGTCAAGGAACACGACAACCGTTGATCGACGGTGCATATGGCGTAGCTCGAGTATTTGAAGCAAAGTGAAGATTTGGTCGATACAACCGCGACCTGGTCGAAAGCCTGCTTGTTGTTCGCGGATGTTGGTCTCCCTAAACGGCGTCAGACGTCCAAGTAACTTGGTGACGATTGGGATCAACCTTATTCCACGGTGGTTTGCGCAGTCATTGCGAGATCCCTTCCTAAACACTGGAACAATCAGTGATTCGCCCCAGGACGATGGAATGCGCTCGTGTAAGCAGATGTCATGTATCACATCAGTAATAAAGTCTACAAATTCATCGCTCTTCATCTTGAAGAGTGGGAGGAAGCCCGTCCGGTCTTGCTGCTTTTCCTTCCTTCAGGGCTTAGATGCAAGAACGAACTTGTTCTGCAATAGGAGGATCAGATGACACTGCCCATGGAGCCTCAGCTACATCGGAGGAGATAGCCTGGTTAAATCCTGGCCAGCTGAACTGTTCGTTGAAGTACTCCGTCCACCGGTCAAGCTGTTGTTCCCTATTGTGAATAGTTTGCCCACTTTTGTCGCAGATTGTTTCACTAACTGTTGTTCACCGACCTCCCGTATTGAGTATCAGTTGGGACAGTCTCCGACTATTCCCTGGTGCAGCTGCTACTTCCATTTCACTAGCTATCGTTGCCCACCAGTTTTCACGGTCTTTCTTGAGGCTCCTCGTGACTTGACGTTGTAGACGCCATTTAACCCTACCTTGATCCCTGGTGGTTGGGATTTGCCG